AGAGGAACTGCGGTTGGTACTCTTCTGCTTACCTTGACCTCCTTCTTTTCATCTGTTGTTGACTTTCTTATTTTTTACCTGTTCCTGTCAACTTCTGTTTTCGAACTCACCTGTAGGGGCATCGTTAACGTTTCGAACGTTTTTTTGCATCCAGCTGTGGTTAACACGAGATAAGAAAAATGGTGGCTGGCCCGAGTGACCGCAGGCTCAGCCAGTCTCTAACCATTCATGATGCATGGCATGGAAACTTGGTTTGGGAATGTTGGAGATGCCACACCCACTCATCTTTACGTCATCACTAAGCAGTTATCTTTCTCCCTTGGTTCTCCCCGTCTTCTTTCCTTTCCTTTCTGAACGGTCTGTACCTCCCGCATGCGCATCGCCAGTGCTGCTCCCCTGGTTGTTTTGCCGCCTACTTTTCCCTCAGCATGCCTCAGGCACTTGCATGCTCAACAACTGCTGCTCAGTAGTGCAAACAGTGACGTTGCTGGACATAGCTTGCGCCTTTTCCGTTAACAAGGTGCACGTTGTGATTAGTGAATAACAGACGACTAAACTTTACTAATACGTACACCAGCCAAACTAACCTAGGAGGCATTTTACTAACACCATTTTTGTGTCTGCTAAATAACTTTTGAGTTGCAGCAGGGATGATGCTGACACTAGTTCAATGATCAGTTAACTCTCTAACTAGTTTAGAACTCTCAGGGCTAGCTGAATAGAATCCAAGAATAAACCTCAAACAGACATGAAAATGGGTTCCGCCACAGGGCTAAAACTGAAAACCAAACAAACAGAAAAAAAAAAAAAAAGCAAAACCAAACAAAACAAAAAAGCAAAACAAAAACTAAAATAAACAAAACACAAACAGGCATACCCCAGGATTGTAGCATCTAGGTCTGAGTATAGCGTGTCCTTTCCCTGTGCTTTGTTATCTAGGTGACAATATCAGTGGATGGGATTCTTACCACAACGGGCTACACGCAAGAAGACTACACTATGCTGGGCTCCGATGACTTTTTCTATGTTGGAGGCAGTCCCAGCACAGCCGACCTGCCGGGGTCCCCAGTCAGTAACAACTTTATGGGCTGTCTCAAAGAGGTAACTATCGATGGCATGGAACCATCCTTAACTCACCATCTCATCTTTGCAGATCCCGACTGAGAGCTCGTTCAGGAAGATCTGATGTTCCCAGAGGGAACGGCACAACCTTAAACACTTCAGCCTTGTGTTGTTTATGCAGAATGGGGGGTAAAGGCAGCTCACACTCCACGCTGAGGAACTGAGCTCTGCTTCCCACAGTGGGCATTTTCCTGGAGAGCTTAGTATATCTGCTGTAAGAGGACGTCAAACAGAAAGAGATTTGGGTCTAAAGCTGTACTAAGGGCTAAGGGCTAATTGTTTCGAGCTAACTCTCTGGGGTATTGTCTGTACTGTGGTGGCTTTTTGAGAGTTAAAGGGGAAAAAAGAGAGAAAGAAAAAAAAAGGCCACAAGAGGAAGGGGAAGACATACACAGTGAAGCTAAAACCGAAAACAAAAATGAGGCTGCACAATGAAACAGTGTTGCTACATTTTAACCGTGTCCTGAAGGTGGGAGAGCTGTGTCTTTTGTGATCTGGTAAGTGGACATGATATTTACCTGAGGAAAACCAGAGCTCAGGAGAGCAATTTCGTCCTCCATTCTCAGCTGTCAGTGTCTGCTGTAAATTTTTATAAGATTGCAATTTGTGGGGAAAGACCAGAAGGGCCTTGAATTTCAATTTTATATTCCATACGAGCTAGATTTTTTTAAAATCTATTCAGTCACCATAAATTTTGTTTTGTGGATATTGGAGTGTAAAGTTCTCCCCTTGTTGTATGGTGGTAATGAGACAATGTAGACTTTTACAATCTAAATTGGAGTAATTATGAACTTGCTAGTTATTTAGGCACAACAATCGCTACTAACAAGCAATGCTGTAGTTTGTTTTGTTCTAAAGAAAATGTAATCCTATAAATTTGATTGTATTATTTTTATTTTATATTTATTTTCACTCAACAGTGAAAAAGTCACTACTTTGTGCTAAGTCATCATTACATGCCTTCAAATTGCCGCAGCTGTTTCTGTGTGTGTGTGTGTGTGTGTGTGTGTGTGTGTGTGTGTGAGAGAGAGAGAGAGAGAGAGAGAGAGAGAGAGAGAGAGAGAAAGAGACAGACAGAGACAGACAGACAGAGACAGAGACAAATAGCCCCCAAGGGGCATTCAGAACCGCTATAGTATAACAAGTGCTTGCAGCTTTCAAGGGCAGAATGGATCCATACATTAGGCAATGAGAGACATTGCCTCTCAGAGAGTAAATGCTACTCTCTGAAGACAGAAAATATGCCTTAGGGTCTGCCTTAAGCTCCATAGGCAATAACAAACTAACAAAATAGTAATTATCATTATGATAAAAACAGTATTAACATTCTCAAAGTCCTTTGTGTTTAGCACTATCCCAAAGCTATCCAGTGATCCTCACAATGTAGGTAGTGATTCACTATCATTATTTCTCAAAGAAACTGAGGCTCAGAACAGGTAAGTTACTTGCAGGAAGAACCACAACACTTAGGAATTAAAACCCAAAGCCTGGTTTCCTAGTCCTCTGTGCTGGTAATTACCATAGTTTACCATGTCCTAGAAGTTTAGGTCACTGACATTGAAGATTGTACAGATAAGCTCTCAATTTCATTAAAAGCAGAATCAAGGTTTAGAAATGTATAATGCAGTATCAGAATGCATGGCCAATGTACTCATTTGAGTTGAAAACAGGATGAACTGAGTGTGAGCTCCAGTGGCCAAGGAAGACATGGAAGGCAAACCTGTGACCTGGATTCACATGATTTGGACAGGCAGGAGATGGATAAAGTAGTTCAGATCCGGGAAAGTCAGGGTCATTGCATACTTTGACTTCACAGGTAGACTCCTAAAATCCTTTTCTGGTTGTTCCTAAGTACTCACACCAAGGTGTGGTATTCATCTCCACTATGCAATCAGCCAAGCTTTAGCTATAAAGTGTGATGCTTGGGTTAAACAGGAAAAGGTCCAGAGTTCAAGAACTTTTAGCAGGAATGTAAACCTAGCTGAAGAGCATCTTTGGGCATCCTATGAAAAATGAGGATGTCTGAGATACTGGGTTCCTCTGAGACCTGTGACATTCTGCCAGTTCTCTAGTGAGCAAGCACATTGTTGTGCCTGTGAAGCTGCAGTGAACTTCCTTCTCCAGAAATAATGGTTTCAAATTAAGTGTGCGTCAGACTAACATCTCTACTGTTTAAATGCGCATACACTGATATGGCTCAGCATCCATCTTTGTGTGTTAACAGTTCAATCACAAACAATATGACAGAAAGAAAAAATGTAAAAAATAAAGCCACATGGTCTTTCAAGTATCCCTTAGCAAGAAGCCAGTGATTGCAGAAAAGTGGGTTCATTCTCTCTTCCTTTTCTGTAGATTTTACATACAAATACTTCCTAATTGTAGGGTGGGCCCAACCCACCTTTCTGCTTTCCGTAGCCTGGGGAATTTGTTTGGAGTAAGTGCTGTGAGGTTTTGTAGTCTTGTGTGAGGTGTTTCATTTATTTCCTCCCAAAACCAAGGGGTTGGAAAGTTACACACACAATCAGTTCATAAATTAAAAACACTCCATTGGAGGGTTCTTTGATAGTTCACTCATAGCTTCCACCTACATTTAGATCGTCTTTTAGAATAGCCTGCTCTTCCTATTTCTGAAAGGAAATAGTGAAAAGACACCATGGAGTTTTGAGCTAAATCACCTTTCTATAGGAAGGCCAGCTTTGTAGAGTTTGTGAATAGAGAGGAATATGCTAATATTCATTCTCTTGTTTGTTTTCCTAAACCCTGGCTTAGAGTTCCTAGCCTATAGCATATTCCATTCCTAATTCCTTAATTACAATTTCATTTATTGGCTTATTATATTTTTATTTTCAATCTAGTACATAATACCCCTTAGGATAGTCACTCCTGTAGGAGAATCTAAGGGCACCTAGTCTGAAGCCACAGAGGACACTTTGGAGTAGGGATAATCCTGACAATCATTCTCTAAGTCTGATTGCTTTGAAAGTAGAGAGGCAGATGTAGAGGAGACGGTGCTGGGGAACAGTGAAGGAGAGCACAGGATTGGTACCAAGTGTTCAGACAGATAACTTATCTGACTGGATGATGATGGCCTCATTGTGATCCGTGCCAATTATCATAAACCTAGAGATGACCAGCTACATTTACTAGTTTATACCCTCATTCTTTAAAAATTAAAGTGAAAAATAAATTTCTCAACATATAGAAACAATTTATAGTTTAATTTTCCTTAGTGATATCTTAATTCTTCTGTGACATTTATAATGGTAAATGAGACCTAAGAGCACTTTCAGCCACTGAAGTAAAGAAAGTTCATTTTGTTAAAGTGACCATCACATTTCAAAATAAAATAACAATGTGTAGAGCACTAATCTGTTGAAAATGAGAAGAGATCTTGAACAGCCTACAGAGAAAATAATTTCTTTTGTAACAGTTAAACTTAGTCACAAATAATTCAAAAAGTCATTGGAGAAAACAGATTTCACAGGCTTTTAAAGTCTTAGAAAAGGCAAAGGGAGGATGTAAATATTGAGTTACCATTCTACCTAGATCACTCTTGTAAAACTAGATATAGGCCTTGAGAAATACACTTTAAAGTCTTATTCTAGCGAAAATACTCCAATTTCTTCTTTGGCAGGAATGCTTGTTTATATTCTTTGCATTTTTTGGAAGCACCGTTTAAAAGCTGAAATATATTTCCTAAGAATGTTTTATAATTTTACACTTATTTTTTTCTATTGAAGTGTGTTTGAGTAACAAATAGGTACAAATAGGAGAAAGATTGAGAAGCCTGAAAAAAGAAGAGTCTTGGCATCTGAATGAGGTGCTTGGGGTCTATTTGAAGAAGCTTCAGCACCGCCCACTCACCACTGAGCACTTGAAAATAATTTTCTTGGAAACAAGTACTGTAGTTTTGTCCTAAAGTACTCATTAGAGGCAGCTTTTCAACTACCAAAGATTGGTGAAAATCTCACCAATACCTGTTTTACTCCAATATTCTGACCAGGAGGACTTGGATAGTAAGGGACCCAGCAGTGAGGGCAACGCTTCTCCCATTAATCCTGTCTGTCCTTAACTCCTGGATTTTGTACTTCTTAATTACATTGTATCCACAAAACACTCTGAAACACCTGCTTCCCTCCTGCGGAGGGGACATTGTTTAGCATGGCTTGCTGGTTAGAAAAGGAAACTAAGGAAGGGGAAAATGATTGTGTGCACGAAGAAACTCCTTAGGACGCTTTATCTGAAGTGTGTTCTCAGACATGTGTGCCTGCTGCAGGTTTTCTAATCAGTTGCTGCCGTGGAGACTGTGCCTGTGTGAGGTAATTTAAAATGCTGCCTCTAAGAACGGCTTGGAATGAGCCTGAGGAAAGATTCTTGAGAGGAAAAAAATTGAGTGAAATGCTAGAGGGGATTAAATCCCTACTGAAAATTTCATCAACCTAATTAGGTCAGCTCAGCCTTTAATTACACATAGAGATTTTCCTCGCTAGAAATCTGCAGGAAGCTCGAAGGTGGGTGAGGCTCAGGAAATACCCTGTCTTATAAAAAGGAATTTTCCCTCACTGTGAAAAAAGAAAATGGCCGATTCCTGGATTCCTGAGTGCACAGGGTGGGGGAGGGTCCCTTCTGAGGAATGCAGAGACCACACCCTTATTCTCACACTGCACCACTCTGAGCAGCTGCTGACAAGTGTTTCCTTTATGAAGGGCCCCCTTACTTCTGCCTTCTTTTGGACAACGGAGGATGCTCTAAAATTGTGAAGGCTTATTCCTGTCTGTGATCAACCCAGCTGACCTAAGTCCCTCCTTCTGGTAGATTTCCTGCACTGAGATGGATACCACTATATATAGGAACAAAAATCCACTACAGATTTTGCATTTTGAGTTAGTTTTCCTATTCTGAAAGAAGGTCCTTTTTATGACCTGTTGGAGAAATTGCAGTGGCAGGCACTTGGAGGATAAGGGGATGTTTATTGATGT